ATAATTTATTATATTCTTCATGTAATTCCACAGGATTGATAATTCTTTCAACCAGGATGTTATCATATCTGAATCTGATCCTATTAGAGCTATACTGCTCTTCAAATAAAAATAACATAAAATAGCTCTTCATCACAAGCCATCTACTAAGTCCAGTAGAAAAACTGATCCTCAGGGTTATAATTAGCAATAAATATGGAGATTTCCCACTTGTAGCTTTAAAGAGTCCTTTAAGGTTTTTTCTTATATCATGCATCAATTTTCCCACCTGACCATGTCAAGGGAACCTTCAGGTAGAAAGCACTGTCCTGAGGAGAGACAGGAAGACTAGTTGGCTTTGTGTAAACTAAAATGTATTTAATTTGCCAGAAGTACCTTTTTATATGATCATCATTTGGTCACCAGCAGGTAACTTTCATTGGCTTTATTCAGCAGAGTCTGAAGAATACAGGTTGATCAATGTGTCATTTATGAGGCACCTACAGAGATGATCAAGTTTATTGCACAGTACTGTGGAAAGCAGCACAAGATTTAGCAGACTGAACCACACATTTCCTCCCTACTTCTTTTTTTTTACATTAAAACTACAGTTTGAAAAACAACTTCCAATGCAAAAAAAAATTAAAACAGCAGGTGATAATTAGGACAAAGTTACAACAACATTATTGCTGATAGGCTACCTGTCAGTTAATGCAAGCTATCACCTCTCCCCAGGAATAGTTATTATTAAAAACAACTTATGAGAGTTAAAGAAGGGATATTAAATGTGTTAGTCTCCTTGTCTGATCATTTGGAAATGGCAGAAAGATAGATCATTAACCAGCTAGGTTCTACCTTGGTCTCAGGGCAGATACACACATTAAATAACTTAAAGTTAAAAATGACCAAAACATAAACCTTAGCTGCCTTGAGTTAAAAATCAATTTTCCTAATAAATCAAATTCAAATATTATATACCAGTATATAATATCAAGAAAGAAGGAAGTGTTGATAATTGCTGTGTTGGCACAGTGCAAAGTGTAAGACTTAGAGGGATATGAAAATTTAGTAATTTAGAAAATCTGGGACCAAAAATAGCTGTCACTATGTGGAAGGCTCAGAGTTTAGTTCAGTTGTTGAGCTATAATAATATTCTCTGACTAGTCAAGGTTGAATGTTCAAAATGTAGTTTGAGTATTAATCATCAATTGGAATAAAAGACTGCACACCTGGAGAGGCTCTCCTGGGTTAAGTAGCTTGTTCCTAAACATAGATACGTTTCTTTCTTTGTGTATTCCACAACCACTTGAGGGTCTTCCCTACTAAACAAGCAACCTCTTTGGGAATTCTTTCTTTAGCTTTATTCTTTATCAAATACAATCTTTCGGCAAAGAATTCTCCTTAGCTTTTGCTGATATGAATTATCAGCTCTTTCAAACTGTCCATTTCAAATTAAAGCTTTACCTTTCATCCTGCCCAGTAACAAATCCGATGGTATGCTATGCTTTATTTTGGTTTACTATACAGTATTCCATTGTATATTCACACTGTATAGCATTATGTGAATAAACCACAGCTTATTTATCCATTTTACTGTGGGTGAGCATTTGGATAGTGTCCTTAGGTACACAGGTGTACACAAAATATCCCCCACTCCACTTGTACACAGCACTGAACAATTTTTGTTAAAGTATAATATACATACAAAAAAGTGCATATATGTAGTACAGCATGATGAATTTTCACAAACTGAATACACATCTGCAACCAAGACACAAAACATGACCAACTCCCCAAAGCCCTATTTATGCCCCCTCCCAGTCATTAGCCCCCTTTAAGGGTAACCACTATAACTTCTGATAGCATAAATGAGTTTTGCCTGTTTTTATAAAACACTCTTGTGTGTCTCGCTTCTTTTACTTAGCATTGTATCTGTGGGATTCATATATGTTACTGCATTTGGAAGCACATTGTTCATTTTTAGTGAGGTATACTATTCTGTTCTATGAATATATCACCAATTATTTATCCATTTTACTGTCCATGAACATTTAGGCTGTTTCCAGTTTGGGGTTATTATAAATAGTGTTGCTTCAACCTGTTTAAAAAGTGTCTTTAGGTGTTCATTTGGCACTGGTATATTCCTAGGGAAAGAATTGCCAAGCCAGAAGGTTTTCCTATGTTTAATTTTAGAAGGTATTGCCAAACAATTTTCCAAAGTGGTTGTACTGTATACAAGCATTTGATTTCTTGAGGAATCATTCTGAGGAAGGTAATTCAGTCTAATCTTTAAGAGAACAAGTTTTCAGTCACTCAGACCAAATTCAGCTCACTATGAAACAGCTAGGCATCTATTCTTAACTCTCTTAAGCCTCAGTTTACTTAACTATAACATAGGTAAAATAAAACCCTTCTCAAAATTTATGAAAATCAAATGAGATGTTAATTAATGCAACTTTGAACAGTACCTGGCACATAGTAAGTGCTATGCTTATATAGTGATCATTAAACATTAACTCTTACAAACAGACAATAAAGAGAATTAGAAACAAATATACACAGTATAATTCACAATTTTAGTTCTCTAGATGGAAGAAAATTGAAACTCTGACCCAAAAAGCATTACCAGTTCCAGTGAGCATTACACTCGGACCCTGAAAAAAATCATTTAAACATTATCCCAAAATGCATTTGCAAATTACTCTTGCCAGAGGCAAGGTTCTTGTATGCAGTGCATTACTTCCCTTTTTTTCCCCTACCAGACATTACTCTTTAAAGACAAGACTGCCAAGGGCTGCTCTGGAGAGTCCCTAATATTATACTTTTTATTATATTTGCTAATTTCACACCTTCCCCAACCTAACCCCCAAAGTTGTTGAAAACTGCCTGTAATTGCAACCTGTTCTTAGTTTTCTTTGAAACTTACCAGTACCTAAGATTTCTTCCACATTCCTAAAAGACCCCAAAATGAGCCCAGATCCTGCCTTTAAGTTACAAAGACCTTGACCTTTTTTTGTTGGCATGAGCTTAATAACCTCAGCCTGAATTTCAGCAGCTGCTGGGACAGCATTCTACAAGTTAACACAGAACTCTGTACAGAGGTACTGTTTTAGCTAATTGCTCCAGGGGCAGCAGTTAGGTAATTTTGTAAGGTTGCACTGTGTTCCTAATAAATTGAATCATTTATCAGTCATCTTTCTCAAGAAATAAAGCACACAATCTACTTAAAACGATATCATCTTTTGAGAAGGCCAGTGGTAGACCTGAAAAAGAACTTTTGAACATTTAACTGAACCTCTTCGATTTACAGATGAGAAAACTAGTCATTTTAGAGTTTTGCCTAAGGTCAAACGGTTTGTTCTCTGGACTGGGAGAAAGCAAGTTCGAGTCTTATTCACAGTTCCGCGGTTGTTCCTCTTTGCTATTGCCTTTTTGGCTCCCACCATCCTCCTATTCTGTCCCCCACCTTGATATCATGAAGATCCAGAAACTGGGATGCTTAAGGAGTGTGACTTAAAAACCATCCATTAAATTGTTATTAGGAAGTGCAAGATGAGTGAGGCTTGCCTGCTCACACAAGATCCAAGGAGAATCTTCTCTGCTTTGTATATTACTGTATTTCCATCACCTAGAACTGTGCCTAGCACATAGTAGGCCCCAGTAATTGTTAAACGAAAAAATGAATGAATGAGTCAATCTTGGGTATGTCACTTTGTCATGTCCTTACTTTTTCTTTACCACCTCCTTCCGGCAGTACTAACAAAACATGTAGATTGAGGTTCTAAAAAGGAGAAATCATCCGGAAAACGTTTAGTAGCGGTGCCTAACCCATTGTGAGCAATTACAGAATATCGGTTCATTTTCCTTTTCTTCCTAAGTGTGTTAAGGGGTGATGTGCCACTGTGTGCCATGGATAGCTAAGAGGCTGGTGAGAAACGGCTGTTAGCGTCTTTCTTATCTGTATAGATCAAGTCCGGTGCCCCACAAAACGCACAGCTGTTTTACTCAGGCTGGTTGCTTTTGTTGATCGCTTCTGGGCAGCAATCAACTCTTTAATACAACTTTTAGTAATCATCAGCTACACTGCTGCGAGAGGAGGGGTAGTGATAGGAAACGCAAGTAAGATCCCCTCCCCTCAACCTTACACCAAAATAAACGAAGCCCGCGGTGAGGGAGTGCGTTTTGCCGGGTTAACGGGACCCGGGGCTGGGGCGGTGCCGTCCCCTGCAGCTCCGCCCCCTTACCCGTGGCGGCCGCCGAGGTTCAAGTGCGGGCCCTGTGCACCGCCCTGCGCTGCGGACTCCGAATCCGCGCGCGCTACTCAAGGGCCTCTACTTGAAGGCTTGGAGGGCCCAGAGGTCATTCGAGCCCACGGTCATTCGGCCACGCGCTGTGCTACCACGTGGGATAAAAGTTTCCAACTCTGCCAGCGGGGCCTCCCGGTGCCCACCAGCAGAGAAGAGGCCCGCCCTTTGGCACCCGCTCCCTGTCTTGCCGCCTTAAGTCGCCCCCAACTCCCGGGGAACCCCCCTTTGTGTCCCTCCTCTGAAACCCCTCCATTCTCCGCGCAGGTCCCCAAAGGAAAATAACCTGGGAGCCTTCTGAGAAGGCGACCGGGACACCTCCGGTGGGCCTGGGGACGGGAGTCGAGGGACAACTGTCCCGAGGAGGGTGCGGGGGGCGTGGAGCTTTGGGGCGCGTAGTACACTGGGGACAGTGCCCTGTACGCGTCCCTGGCGCGATTGGATGGATCATTCGCGGCTTCCACACCTCGCGCGCCAACTCCGCCGGGGCACAGTGGACCCCAACCAAGAGGCCCCACACACATTCGTGCCCCTCGTCGCTCTCTACTCCGGGTCCGCTCCGCCCCCAGTGCGCAGGCCCGGCTGCCCCAGCGCGCATGCCCTGGGCTCGCGAGCGCGGCCAGCCCCCAGCCTTTTGCTTTCTACACACTCTACAACTGAGGAGGGGACTGTGGGGGGAGAGAGAGAGAGAAGGGAGAGCCCAGCTGGCCACGTGATCTAGCCGGCCGGGGCCGCGGGGGCGGGAGCGCGCGCCGGCGAGAAGCGGGGAGGGCGGGTGCACGTGCGCGCGCGCGCGGACGGGCGCGGGGCTGGGCTGAGGCGGGCGGCGGCGGCGGGCCGGCTGCGAGGGGGAGGAGCGGGAGCTGAGCGAGGCGGGCGGGCGGAGGATGGGGCCGTGCCCGGGTCCCCGCAGCAGCCGCCCGGGGACACGCCGTGCACCCTCCGGCTTGGGGCTCTCGCGGTCTCGGCGGCGGCAGCGTTAGCGGCGGCAGCGCGAGCGGCGTTCCCGGGGCTTCCCGGCCGCGCTCCTCCCTCAGGCTGGGCGAAGAGAAGAGGCAGCGGCGGCGGCAGGCGGCGGCACACCGGGGTCTCTACCACTGGAGATTTCTTTCTGCTTTCCTCGTCGACTGACTCACCCCCTCCCTTTTCTGAGGAAGGGTCACCTCTTCTTTGGGACTCGAAAAAATGTTTTTTTGAGGAGGGACGGTGGGTGGCAGCGTCAGGATCGGCTTCTTCTCTTTCCTCTCCCTCTCCTCCCCCTCCAAGACCGAGAAGCAAACCCCACAACTGCTCCTGCATCCTCCTTCCCTTCCCTCACCTCCCTTTGCCACCTCTTCCAGTTTCGCCCTCTCCTCTCCGAATTAGTTCATTATTATGCTTCCCTCCCTGGGGGGTTTCGTCCCTCTCAGGTCGCTCAGAAGCCGTGGCCTCCCCTGGATGCATTTCTTAAAAATTTTGGAGCCTGGGAGTGAGTTTTCTCCGAGGCGTGCGTGAGAGGCGGCGGGGGTGTTTTCCTGCGCGAGGGGCGGGTGAAGTTCATTGCCCCCACTTTCCCGCGACCTTTTCGGACCCGATTCTGAATTGGGGGTCGGCGTTTTTTTTGTGGGGCGGGGGTCGCGGCGGAGAATGGCCGCGGGGAGGGCTCCCCGGAGCCTCCCAGTCTCTTGATCAAAGCATTCCGCTATTCTGATTTATTGCCTGCTTGGTGAGTTATTTTTTTTTTTTTCCTCTAAAGGAGACCTGTGTGTTCAGCCATTACTTTGCTCGGCGCTGCTCACAGGCATCTCCGACCCTCGGTGCTGTGAGTAGCCCCGCACTTGGGCTGCTCGCCCCTCGCCCTCGCTCCCGTCCCTCCTCCCTCTCTCCGCCCCTTCCCCCTTTTCTTTCTCCTCTCTTTCTTCCCTTCTCTCCCTTCTTTCGGCCGCCGTCTCTCTGCGCCCTCCTCGGGGCGGAGGGAAGCCGAGAAGGGGAGGGAGGGGTTGGTGTCAATTTTTTTGTGTGGCCGCGGCCGGAGCCTGTGGCGTCAGGCGGCGAGCGGGGAGACCCCGGCGCGGCAGAGCCATGGATGGCCCGACGCGGGGCCCTGGACTCCGCAAAAAGCGGCGGTCGCGGTCGCAGCGAGACCGGGAGAGGCGCTCCCGGGGCGGGCTGGGGGCTGGCGCGGCCGGCGGTGGCGGGGCCGGTCGGACCCGGGCGCCCTCGCTCGCCTCGTCGTCCGGCTCGGACAAGGAAGACAATGGGAAGCCCCCGTCCTCCGCCCCGTCCCGGCCCAGACCCCCGCGGAGGAAGCGGAGAGAGTCCACCTCGGCTGAAGAGGACATCATTGATGGATTTGCCATGACCAGCTTTGTCACTTTTGAAGCGCTGGAGGTAAGGGGGACCCCCCTCCCCACGGTTTCCCTTTATGCATGACCCCACTAGGCTGCGCCTGACTCTGCTGCCTCCCCCGCCGTGCTCTGTTCTGTCTGTCTGTCTGTCTGTCTGTCTAGGCTGGGGTCTTATTGTTGAGGGGGAGCTGGGGGCGCGGGCAGACAGCCGTGCCTCGTCTCCTCGTTTCCTCGTTCTTGCTCGGCTTCCCCTGCGCCCCCTCCCTGCACCCCTCCACAGCAGATGGGCAGAAAGAAAGGGGTTCAGGCATCACAACAATGCGCCCCCCTCCACGGATAGCTCTGCCCCTACTCCTTCCTCCTCTCCCTCCCCAATCATGGCTTCTTGGCTGGTGGAAGTCTCTTTGCTGGGTTTGGAGCGCCCGTGGACGGCTCTCTGTGTGCTTTCTACAGAGCCATATGTCCGTGTGTGTGCCTATATAGTGTATACGTTTCCTGGGTGTCCTCGGGACCAGAGACCTATGGGGTTTTGTGGCTTCTTTACCCCCAATCCCCTGCTTTTTCTTTCTCTCTCTCTCTCTCTCTCTCTTTTTTTTTTTTTTTTTTAGAAAGGAGGGAGGAGGGGAGAGAAGGGAGGAAAGGCTGGGATATATTTCTGTATTCTGTGTGGGGCTCTGTTACAGAAGGGGTTAATCATAATGTTGTCTATATACATACATATGCACATGTGTGTACATGAGCAATTTGGTTAAAGGACAGAAAAAGGTCCTACCAGAGAGGACTGGTGGGAGGAAAGAATAAAATTCTAGCTGATATCTGAAGGGCTTGTCACCCAATTGTCCCTTTTCCTTTCGTTTATTTTTTTTGTGTGTGTGTTTTCTTTATTTTCTTTCTGATTGGCTTTGTGTGTGTGTGTGTGTGTCTTTCTTTTTTCCTTGGGCACCTGCAGCATTGATTTCCAAATGTACATTTTCCTGCCTATCGGGCTTCTTGGTGGTGGCTATCGGGCTTCTTGGTGGTGGCTGGGGTCGGGGTGGGAGGGATTGTTGGGAGGTACAAGGAGACTGTCCAGGGGTCAGGGAAAAACTGTCCTTACCTGGACGGGTCACTTTTGGTGCTGGCACCGGTAATTGGACTCTATAAATGCAACCCCTTTCCTCCCCCTACCTCTCTATCCCCACTCCCAACACATCACACACTCAGAAGGCTTTGAGATTCTGCAGAGTTGGTCCAGCTTTCTTAAGCACAAAACCAAGATAGGAGTTGGTTTCTAGCCTTTCATGCACCTGATGTGAAGGTTTGAGGTTCCTGAAAGAAACTTTTCCCCTTCCCTTTGGTTTTTTTTTGCTGTTATTATGATATTGTTTGAGATTATCAAATGCAAGCTTTGTTAATGACAGCTTAAATCTCCCATGCAGTAACTGTGCAGGTTTAGATTGCTGGCTCTGTGTGTGTGTGTGTGTGTGTGTGTGTGTGTGTGTGTGTGTGTCTGTGTGTGTGTGTCTGTGTGTGTGTGTTTGGGTGTCAGGTTTAAATATTTTAAAAAGGTTTAAATATTTTAAAAAAGGAAGCCTACCCCTCAGGTTGTTCTTTTCAGTTTGAACTGCTTCTTGTTTGGGCTGTTGATAGTGATGGTGGTGGATGGTGGCCAGTGGTTGGGGAGGAAGGGAGGATGGTGGTCGTGATGATATTGGTGGCCATAGGTTTTGATGTTAGTGATTGAATCAGTTACCCTTTGGTTCTAGAACTGGTGCTTTATTGGATAAAATGGATCTTACACAATTGTTTTGAGTGTTGAGGCTCACCACTTATTAGGGTACTTCAGACAGTGGCATCAACTTTGCCAAGGTGGGAGGGTACTTACTGTACTGTATGACCTCCTCTTTGTCTCTGTTTCTCTCTTGCTTTGAAATAGGAATTGAAATGGCAGCAGGTATCCTAATAGAAAATGCTGCCTAGAATTTGGTTCAGCATTGCTATCTGTGGTTGGTTAACCATAGTATTTTTAAGAACTGGTTACAAGTGGTTCTGCTTTCAGCATGGCTATCCTGGATTGGTTGCTGTGTGACCTCACTCAGTGAGTAAGCAAGAGGAGGCTGCATATTCCCATGAATATTTTTGAAGGCCAAGTAGAGGTAGATGAAATGTATGCAGTTGTATTTGATTGTTTTTATTTTTAACAGATATATGACTGGGCTTGTGATGTATATCTCTATTCATTTGGCTTTTGCCAAAAACAATGCACCCATTTTAGTTTTTTGGGGGGCTTAATAAAGCTGCTAATTTTTAAAGAAGAACAACTTCAAAATGTACCATGAATACCATTCCTTTCCTTGCTGTGATTATTTTTTTCTGCTACTTTTCTAGATTCAAAACCCAGGTTACTTTGGTTAGCTGAATACTATGCTATTTTCATATCTAAATATCATTTACATATCTGTGTGTGGGTCTGAAGGGTCTTTTTAAAGTTTCATTACAACTTTCTATGAAAATTTACACATTTACTAAAGTATAAAGAACAGTATAATAAACTGCAATACACATCCAGGTTTACCAACTACCATCTCATCTTCTCTTATCTTGTTTCATCTATGTCCCATGTACTCACTGGCTTCTCACCCCCATGTCATATGAGAAATATGTAAATATGTGTTTCTAAATGATAATGGCTCAAAAAGAAAAACCCATCAAAAACCCCACAGTATCATTATTACATCTAAATAAATTTACAACAGTTCCCTAATATCACATACCTGTAAGTGTTTGCATTTAAGAGGCCCAACTCTTGTAGGAAAGCTGAAAATAACTTTTCAAATTCAAAACATACAGCAGGGAATAAAAATCATCACGTACGTCTGCTTCTGTGGGAAAAGTTAGATCTCTTTGCTGCTCATCACACTTGTGTACACACTGGGTGGTCAAACATAAGTGTCTAGTGATCATTAAAACAAAACCTCTGATGTCCTGCTGTATTGGGTTTGGAAGATTTACTACCACTGAGAAATGTGAGGGCTTAGTGGGAAACAGCAACTAAACTATGAGCTTGGACAGAAATGTATGTTCCAGAAATCCTTGTAAATATTAAGAATTACTGTAGATGCTAAGAGTTACCTTAAGTACATTATATGTTTATGTGCCTCATGTTCAGAAATGAAATCAGTCATCACATATTATCAAGGCTGCTGCTGGCATGATGTTGTGATAAGAAACTAGAAATGTTGGCTTGTACAACTAGGCTTCTGGCTTATGCTGGTTCAGAGCAATAGCTGGCAAACTGTAGAGTCACATACTTTGGGTGTTAATAGACTCATTATTTCACTCCATGATTTTGTCCTAAGTAGTTGGTTTTGACTTCCATTTTAGAAAAGAGGCTCCTAACTCATAATGAAATGAGCTGATAATAAACTGTTGAAGTCCAGCTATGGCTTTACTAATAATGAAGTAAAAGAAAGAAACTTGCCTAATGAGAATCTGTATATTAATGATTTTTTTCAATATTATTGGGTTCTTATTTAAGATTATAAAAGCTTTAGGGGTAGTTTGAGAGTCTCACACTTTATACATAGTGAAACTGGCTGAGGTAGTTTCATATTCTGCAGAGACACTTGTCTGGATAATTGTACCCTGAAGTTCAAGTATGTGGATTGTGAAGAGTCTTATGGTAGAAGATAAGAGGGTGGGTGAGGAGGCTAAAGTTGAACACAGTGTTCTTTGCATTATGCATTTGAGAAGCAAAATTACTATTTGGATATGGTATTGTTTATTTGGATATCCCTTGAGTAACAGGTTGAGAGTGAGTATCTCCAGATAGCATGCCTCATTTGTTTTGTTTTTTTAAGTGGCCTCCAGCAAACCAAGTAAAAATGGAAACATTGGGGTTCTAATACTGCTGGTATACTGTAATGTGCCAGATAATACTGCCTTTGTGTTCTTGTTTGGATTTCTTTCTGTGTAGTCTTGATTAGGAAGTCATATGAGCATCATGGCTGAAAATTGACTTTGCAAATCCATTATGTCCCCCCTTACTCCTCTTTGTGTACTGGGTTGTTAGGGCAGCTGCCTTTTGTACAACTGTCCAAGGGAAGCAAAGATGAAATTGGTGGGATTAGCAGACAGGAGGCCAATTGGAGCTTCGCAGGCTTGTGAAAATTAAGAAATACTCATTAGTGATGGATAGAGGATCAAACCAAGACTTCTATGTGGTGTTCATTTTCTAGCTCTGTTTCAGAGCTTACCCACATGTTGATAGCCTAAATAGGCTGTATAGAATTTGATGTACATGTAACATGCCATGTTAGTAGGCTCTGATCACTTACTCTGGTCAAATCTCACTCATTTGTTTAAACAACATTTATTCTGTTCCTTGGATCAGTCAGCCAGTGTTCACAGAGTGCTAGATACGTACTTGGCACTGGAAAGAGAATAAAGAAACCTAAAATATATGTATTTAGTAAAGCAACTATAAAATAATTTTGAAGTAGGCAGGTGAATGCCTAATACCAACTAAGTGAAGTAGGCTTTCAGAGAAGAGGTAGTGAGTGAGATAGGCTGAAATGTTTGAGAAGACGGGGCAATATCTTTGAAGTGATTTGGATGGATAGAGAAGGAGTGGGGGGTGGGGAGAGCATTCTAAGAAGAGGAAAAGAGTGAAGAAGCACAGGAACAAGACAAGTGAGAAGATGCTATTTATAGGGCTTGGGTGCAAGGAAGGGCTGACAGAAATGGTACAGAATTGTGTAAGTAGAGTTAGGGAGTCAGATGTATGGAGACCCACATTCCAGGCTTGGCCCTCCTACTTAGTTGAGTGACCTTGGGAAGCTACTCTCTAAAAGCATAATTTTCTTCATCCATTAGTCGGGAGGTTTAGACTAATTTTAGAGCAAAGTTACTCAAGCTAGAAAGGAACATAGCTCTGCTGGATGTTCATAGGTTGTGTTCCAGACCAAACAATTGTGATCTACCCTCAAATAGTTTTGAAATGTGTTGGGCCAAACAAAATTAAATGGGTGACATGTTCTGCCAGAATTCAGTGTTTTTTTTATT